CTAGGCATGCTGCAAACTAATCATGTGTGGTAGCCCAATAAAAGAGATGTATTTGCTTTCAAACTAAGCCAGTCACGTGGTCATTGTAGCAAGGACAGAGCATAGGACTGAGATTGGAGGTCCAACACTAACTGAGAGGCTGACTACTTTTAACCTTAAAAATGCTAAGTTCGAGATTCTGCTAATCTTGAATACGTACCGGTCTAAAACTATCAGTGTAATACTCTGCTTGCAAGAACTGCTGCAAGTCTCCAACATTGTTTAGAGTTGCACTCATTCCAATTATTTGAGTAGTTTCTGTAAAACAGAAGAGGCAGATGTTGTCACAAGACACACTTATTACTATGCTAGTGAACTACCCGTCAAGAATGACCAGGGAGGGACGGGAATGGGGACCAGGGATGGAGCGCGGCCTCCCACTACCCCACGCTCCTGCCTCTTCCCAAGAGCAGGGGGAGGGGGGAAGCTTGCCCCACCATCCCCTCTGTCATCACCCTGCACCGCCACCACCTCCAAGGAGCGGGGCCCGGGGGGGGTGGGGGAGGGCAAGGTCAGTGGTGCTGGATCTACTCCCCTGCTCCATCCCGTCTGTCCTGGCGGTGCTCCGCCATCCCACTGTCCCCGCAACTGGCCTTATCCCCCTGCTCCGTCCTTGCTATTATGGCGATGCTCCGCATTCCCACTCCGCCCCCCTCTGCCATATTCAAGCTTGAGAGTTGCAAGAGTCCCGTTCCCTCCCCCACACCCTGCCGTCTGTGAGGAGCATTCCGATTGGGTTTCAGTAAACACTGTGATTGGCTGCTGAGACAACCGATCAGAGTGCTACAAAAGCGTGACAGACAGACAGACAGACAAAGCCCTTTATATATACAGAATACAGTACCTATGACAAAAATGCTTAATGCCTTATTCAGGGTCTATTTTATCATTGCATTATTTTGCTATTTGCATTATTCTATTTTATCATTGCAACACTAAGCCATTAAGGAAAGGAACTAGTATCTAAAAATTATGGCAAGAGAAAATGTTTGGAATCAAATTTTAAAAAGCAATGTACACAGCAGCTTTATTTATCCATTTCAATAAAAATTAATTAGAGCTTTTTATGTGCTGTAATAAGAATAGATCTCTTTCAATATAATAGTTGCTCTACCGAAGCCTAATCTTGTAAATCTAATAGATGAGCTACAAAAATATATTAATGAAAGAAAGCCTCCCAATGCATGGAGGCATTAACAGTTTCACTGCATTCTGTGCAACTCCAGTGCTGTTCATAAAATCTTGTTCTTAGCTTCCGAAGAAGCCCAAATTTGGTTTGGCAGTTCTCAAAGTTCTCAAATTTAACAGCTGACCCGCTTATTAATGTAATCACCCAGTGGTACTAAAATATCAAAGCTTCAGGAGACTAAAATGTATTTAAATAAACAAAGAAGAATGGAACTTATATTTCTTGTGGTAAAAAAGTGGCCTTGGCAAAAGTTTTAACATATATAGGGCTCAATCTAACTTAAATTGTCCTTGCTTTCATGTAACCTCTTCTATCATTTGTACTGACAAATGCTTCAGTGGTCCCTGAAGCCTTTATAACCATTTAACAGGAAGAAGAAGATAACCGTCTGGAAGAAAGATTTCATATCACACTCTGGAATTTCTGAGAGGAAAGAGAATTATCAGAAGACTACCCCATGAAAACAAGCAACATACCATGCATGTAGAAAATAACTCTAGTAATCCAAAGTGAAATACACTGTTAAAGAGCCAAGTTCTGAAAAAATTTAGATACGCTCAAACCAAAATAAACTCATCTAAATTATGCAGCCTCACAAGATTTTAATAAAATTTATGATGGTCCTGATGCAGAGGTTACTTACTGCTGGTGTACAGAATTTTTGCAAGAGTCATTTCCAGGATAGCACCACGACTCCCTTCACCAATCATGTGCAACTTTGAATAAAAAGTTGAGAATGGGAACTGTTAAAATAATTACAGACTTTTCCATCCCTGTACATACAGTCACACCACACAACTTCTTAACATTTTAATTCAGAAAACACATTGTCAGGTATGTCTTTGATATAATTTTATTGAATTTTGACTGTAAACCTTCCTCAATAAATATCACCTACTAAACATATATTTCACTAAGGAGAGTGAGGAAAAAGTTAATATCACTGGTATTTGTTTACCACTGTCTGCCTTCCATTTAATTAAAACAAAATGGTCATAGGAATGGCATTTCCTGACCTGACCACTACTAATTGTAGTGATATTTATTATTAGTTAATTTTAAAGTATTTTATGCATCTCTGTCCAGAAGAATGTGAACTGCAAAAGGTAGTGCTGGCTTTTCTTTTATTAACAGCCCACTACAAGTACGAAATTAAAGAGAATCCTAAAAGTTTTTTTTCTGTTTATATTACTACATATAATTGAAAGAAACAGGTTAATGCGAGTCATATTGTATAAACATATTTTCTGTACATTGTTTATTATGAACTGAAGTGACACCTTTTAGTTTATCTTAGAGGTGGTACAATTGTTTGTTACTCCCAGGAACAGGACAGAAACTGAATTGTGACCATGTGATCTTGCCCTGCAATATTTTAGTTAATACCAAAAACGGGCCTAAATTGTGAGTTAACTAAAGCATAATCAAGATGATCTATTAAAGTGTCACTTAAAGTTTGTTTTATTCTACTATGGGTTGTATGCTCATCACCTAACCACTCAATGGCTATTTGCTGAATAAGTTTGATGACTATCTTTAAGTAACTGTCGCATGGAGAGACAAACGGGGGGGACCCAAAAGGTCAAGGGGGGAACCCTGGGAGCAGAGGTCAGGGGACGAACTGAGGTAAAAAAGTAAAATTAAGAAAGTGTACTCACCTGCAGTGAAACCTGCAGCGAAGCTGGAGCACCGGGAGGAGCCCGTGTGAGCCATCAGCTGCGCTTTCATACAGCTGCGGCCAGCCGGTGACATCAGCGGCAATTACCGGTTGGTGGGGATAGAGAGGACAGTCCCCAAAGAGGCGCGGGAACAGACGCCGAGAGAAACCCCAGCCAAAGGGGTCTGCCGGAGGCTCGGAGCGGCACAAGAAACGGTGATCCCCAACAGAAGAGGATCCGATGCCTCACGCGGCAAGGGCGGAGCCACTGACAGCAGCGAAGGTAAACCCGTACTCCGGTGCGGAGAAAGGAGGGGAAGGAAGACAGAGGCTGGAGAGACCCCGAGCCCGGCAGCCTCCGCAGAGAAGGGGGAGGCACTGATCCTCCCTCCAGCTTCCAAACAGGTGGGACAGTGGAGGGACCTGGGGGACCTGAGGGTACGCCCCAGGGACAGCGACGATACTGAGAGGGCCCAGAGAGAGGGCAGCACCGTTGAGAAGGCCCAGAAAGAGGGCAAAACTAATGAGGAGGCTCAGAGAGAGAGAGGGCAACGTTACGTGGGGCCAAGACCAGAGAGACCGGGGATAACCCTGAGGTCTCGCGACCACGGGGGGCGGGGAAAGATTTAGATAGCCCCTAAGCGGAAAGGGGGTGCTGGGAGGACAGGAGTGAGCCCTGGAGGCCGGATATGAGTACTGAGGTATACCTTGGGTGAGGTAGGAACACGCAGTGCTGGTGGAGGTTTTTTTTGTAAAGTATTTTGTGCTTCCCCAAGTCAGGAGGGGTTGAGTGTAGAGGGAAGAGAGGTGAACCGAGGGGAGAGGTACGCCTAAAGATTAGGAGACATCCATTGTGCAGGAGAGCAGCCACAGGACCAACAGTGGCCTGCCAGGCTGGGTATAGGGCGAGGTAGAGGGGAGGTGGAGCCTTGCAGAAGACCGCCGGAGGAACGAGTGGCCAGCGAGGGAGCCTGAGCAGTACCGAGCGCCCCACTGAAGAAGATTCAAAGTCGTGGCAGGCGAGAAAGGGGCGGAGTGCGTCATGAGTAAACACCTCCTCAAAGGACCAGCTGCGACAGCGGGGCGGATATTGGTGTGCACCCGGATCACAGCCGCATGGGACAAGTGTTCGAGGCCAGGTGGGCACAGTAACCTTCTCAAATACAGGATGTGCCAAAATTCAATAGAAACCCAGATCTCATTCGTAGCTGTGCGATTCACGACCTACTTCATATATAGAAGTTTGCCAAGTACAGATGATACACTCAGCTGCTTGCTACAGCTATATACGGCCCCCATCTACTTGGCAAAACCTCTTTTTTGTGGAGCAGGAGGGAGGGAACCTACACCTGCGAGGTATCCAAGCTGTACTGTATCAAGAGTCCAGCCACCAAGAGAGCAATACTGTACAGAAGGGGTTGTCAACTGGGGGTATGCATACCCCTGGGGGTACTTGGGAATGCCCCGGTGGTATGCAGCATGGAGAAGCGGGGGTACTTGGAAAGCGCGCTGCTGTACACCACTGCTTGGTGGTGCACTTCCCAAGTACTCCTACTTCTTTTGCCGCCATCACTTGCTGCCACCCACGTTCCACCCCCCGTTCATCAACTGGCCGCTGGGGGGGACTCCCCTCCCTCCTGCTCGTCCAGGGGGTACGGTCCAGGAGGGATACCCACCAGAAGAGGTGGTACACTCCTTAAAAAAGGCTGAAAACTCCTGCTGTACAGGACAAATGTTAGCCAGTTACCAACTTGTTAAACAGTGTTTTTCACTACAGTATGTGCATGATAATCTGCTAGAAAATATATATTTCTGTAAATAATTAAAAAGGTACAGCATGTTAATAAACCTATTGCAAACTACTTTAACAAACCTCATCTACTACAACTAGGCCCAAATCACCAATTCTTCTGGTTTCAATCAGAGCATTCACCAAGCCATGTCCTTTTTCTATAGTAGCGATGTACAGAGATTTCTTTGTTCTCCGCTTGATTGGAGGAAATCTTCCTTTACTGCCTGCATATTCTTCCACCAGGAAACCTAGCTCTACTCCAAAACTTGACAAAGCCCAAACCTGCAGTGTAATAAAGCGCAAAAGTACAGATTAGATAAAGAGGAAATGAATATCAACATTTAATGATATTGATCTGCAACTGACTTCAAGGAGGCATAAATTCAGGATTAAGGCCATTCAAAAAAACAACAACAAAAAAACAAAACAAAAAAACCTCCGTGAGAAAACAGTTCTCCACCTGTATGTCAGGATTTATGTATGTGTATGGAAAGGTGCCCACAAAGTAAGGCAGGGTGAAAATTTGCAGTACACTAATTGAATGCTCTGGGGCACAGTGTTCACGCTCAAATATCAATAGCTAAATTCACAACCTAAATTACTCGGCAGTAACTTCAGTAGGTAGACAAGCCCTTGGGATAAAGGTCTCAACCAAAGCCAATGAATACTTCATTACAGAGAACAGTGTGACAGCCTCTAAACTAGACTAAAAAACAGAAGCACCTTCTTCATTTCCTGGATGATATTTGTTTAAGATATGCAAACTAGGCCTGTGTGAAGCGGCTGGTATTTGCTTCGGATTCGGCTGATTCAGGGGACAGAAATTAGATTTGGTGATTTGAATCACTGTCCTAAATCAATCTGGCCAAATCTCCAAATCAAACAGGCCCCATCCCCAGCCCACTCTCCCAGCCCCATCAATGGCTGCCCTGCCCAGCCCCAGTGTCCCAGCACTTAAAAAAACCCCACACAAAACAAAAGCCCTGCACTCATCGGCTGCTGCAGTGGCTGTTGGGGCCTCTGGGGGCTCATGGCAGAGTCCTCCCCATGCAGCGCAGGGCAGTGGGGGGGCAGCGGGGATCACGAGCGCGCCCGCAGCGCCCGGGATGGCTGCTACAGCAGCCAGTGAGTGCAGGGCTTTAAAAAATTTTTTTTAAGCACCGGGATGCTGAGGCCAAGCGGGGCAGCCGTTGACAGGGCTCGGGAAATGGGTGGGGGATGGAGGCTCATGGCAGCATCCCCCATGCCGTATGGGGCAGTGGGGGACAGCGGGGATTGTCCCCCTGCCTGGCAGGAGCCATTGAGTGCAGAGTTTTTTGTTTTTTTCTTTGAAGAGCCAAGACACTGGAGTCAGACAGGGGAGGAATTGATGGGGCTGGAAGAGTGGGCAGGTGGGGGTTAGTGGGGCTGGGGGAGCAGACAAGGGATGGGGCCTGGCATGGGTCCCCCCCATGGTCTCCTTCCCCCTCCTCCAGGGCCCCCCCACCCCCTACTTACTGGCATGGAGCCTGGGCCCCCGCCGCCTACTTACCAGCACAGAGCCCAGGTCCAGTTTCCTGTGGTGGCAAGTGGGGACTGCCCAAATCGCCGAATCTTTTCCAAATCGATTCGGACCTTTTTAATTGGTTTCCCGATTCAATTCAGATTTGGAGATTCAGCTGCTGAATTGGGCTGAATCTCTTCCAAATCGAATCAGCACCCAAAGCTTTGCATAGCCCTAATGCAAACATGTTTGTGTTAGAACTTTTGGATGGCTTAATTTGAGGCTTGAAGTAGTTTTCTAACATTACTGGTAAAACAAATGTACAAAGTTGCAGTGCAAAGTACAAATAAACAAAATCAAAAACAGTTTCCACACCTTTTCCTGGACAATAGCCACGTAAGGCAGAATCATTAAAACATCTTTCTGCCCGCAGAGTAATTCTTGAAGAATTAAAATTTCAGCTACAAGTGTTTTTCCACCACTGGTTGGCAATGAATATATTAAATTCTTTCTTTGTTGCAGAGATTCTAATGTTAAACAAGTGTGCTGCCACTCTGTAAAATGAAGATAAATGAGTTATTTTGTGTTCTCTTTTCCTCTGCTTTAATATATATGTTTATGAAGAATTAAGATGTTTTCTGTATTGCTGAAGGATATGAATAGAACTTGTCAGAGGATTTTCATTAATAGAGCTCCAAAAACAACTGATGATTCAGCCTACCAAATCTTTTTCCTTGTCAAAATCACTAAACAAAATATTCAATATGCCCCTGGCTAATCACACAGAAAGCTCCATTCTTCAGGTAAAGTCTATACAACAGTGGTTCTCAACCATTTCAGACTTAAGGCACCCCTTGGAAAATGCCAGCTCTTAGCTTTCACTCATTTCTTGACTACAGAAAAATAATAGTGCAATTTTGCTGCAAAGAATTCAGAATGACCACAAGAGGACAGAATGTTTTTGACACTCTGGAATCCTATTTGACATCTCTGGGTTTATCTTGTGAATCATGAGTAGCTGTTTGTACACCTAATAGTGCTAATATTGTGTGGCACCCCATAGAACACTAAAAGAATTTCACAGCACCCTGGTTGAGAGTCACTGCTGTACAGTAACATCCTACTACCCAGAAGATCCAAACAATTGAACACTTTCAGAAGCTATTAAAAACAGTTTCATGCAAGATGATAGAATCCATCATTTTAAACAAATGAAGTAAGCTTCAGAACAGGAAGTGTACTACTGACAACATATGAAGAGTGCTATTTGCATTTCTTTACCTCACACATAAACCAGTCATGTGTCAAATAAAGGCCCTTACACATCTAACCAAATTATCTTCACATAATATTAGTTTTTAAGAGAAACTGGAACACTCAGACATTGCCTAAACCTGAAATATATAGCAAAGTGGCCAAACAAGCAACCGTTGTAAGTTTCTGTTCTAAGATCACACCCAGTGGTTGTAACTAAAGCCCTTACACCTCTAGTATATGGCTTGTGCTTGTTAAAAGAACACTTCAGTAAAGTAACGTCTATGCTTAAGATTTAATCTATTGATAACTTAATGCCTCTGCTTCACTGAGGCATACGCTATTATACATCATCAACCTATTTTAGCAGCTTTTTGTAGTTTAGAAAATACTAAATTTGTCTGCCATATACAAAGCCAAACATGATAGACTTTGGTGAAATGTTTGAGATAACTGGAAATGAGAGCAGGATAATCTTGCAGTAACAATGATGCATACACTATATGAAGTAGCTCCCTCATGTTTTGGCTCCTAACATCTAGAAAAGTACTTGAACTGAAAACTCCAAGTATGTTTTAAATTTTGTGTTCAATACTTGAACACAATAATTTAGTTCAATACTTGAACTAAAAACTCCAATATTTTTAATTTTTGTCCTTGGTGAGGACTACAGCCTTCAGCTCTTTGGGCAGTAGAATGTTAGATATTGGAATTCTTGGATGAAATGAATGCAACTTTCAAGAAGTCTCCATTATCTCATACACACAATACCTGGAAGACCTTGTGACCCCAGATAAACTAGGCATGGAGTGGGAGTACAAAGCTATGATTAGAGTTGTCATACTGTACAGGCCTTGGAATGGCTGCAGCTGCAGACAACAGCATTATAAACTTTTGCATTAATCCAGTACTGCTATATTCTAGTAATTAACTCAAAGTTAATGATGCACACATGCCAAGCACACAAGACTTTTTGAGATCTAGAATGTCACTGTCATGGGGCACCTTGCTACCCCGCTCCTAGAGAGTGGAAACTGCCAGGGAGAGAGAGCCCTGGCAGGACATAAGGAGCACAGCTGTGGGTTGCCCTGGCAACTAATGAGAGTCAGCTGGCCAGAAGGGGCAGGGCTTGGCCCTCATAAAGCCCAGGGCTGAGGCCAGGCTAGCAGTTCCCTGCCAGCAACCAGAGGGGCAGGAGCTCCTGCAGTTAGGATGTGGAGAGAAGCCTAACAGCAAGTACTGCTGTGACATGGAGCAATGTGGTTATAGCCATAGGGTGTGTGTTGAGTTATAGCCAGGAGGCTTGAGTTTATGTTTGGTTGTGAGACTATACCGGTGGTTTGGGTGAGGCTATAGGGGTTGGAGGAGGCCTCATAGGGACCCCAGAGGCGTGGGGCCCTAGTGCCACTGAGGGCGCAGTATTCTCAGGGGGAACCCCAGTGGTATGGGAACCCCAGCGCCAGTGAAGGCATAGCGCCAGTGAGGGCGCAGCTTGCGGGGCGTAGACCCCAGCCCCGGAGAGGGGAGGCTTTGAGAAGCCCCAGTAGGGGCACAGCAAGCCCCAGAGAGGGGGCAGTGTTATGAGGAAGCCCAGTAGGGGCACAGCAAGCACGATGAGCCCCAGAGAGGGGGCAGTGTTATTAGGAAGCCCAGGATGGGCACAGCAAGCCCCAGAGAGGGGGCAATATTATTAGGAAGCCCAGTGCGGGCACGGTGAGCCACTGAAGAAGGGCTAGTGCTGCGACAAACCCCGGAGCAGGGTAGGGTGCTGCGGTTGCCCCCGTGAGAGGGGGTAGTGGCACGGTGGCCCTGGGAGAAGAGGGTAGCAGCGCGGTGGGCCTGAGAATCAAGCGGCGTTGCCGAGAAGTCCCCAGAGCGGGCGCAGAGAGCCCCAGACGGGGGGCTGTATTTTAGAAGCCGGAGTTCGGGCGACATTGCAGGGGGAGCCCCAGGAGGGGGCACTAGTGTAAAGGCCCCAGACAGGGGGCGACACTATAGAGAATGCCCCAGAAAGGGGCAACAGTACAGGGAGGCCCCGAGTGGGCTGGGAGAGCCCAAGAGAGGGCGAGAGTACGCAGAGGAGGCCTGAGAGATGGGCAGTGTGTGTATATATATGAGAGAGACATACCAGCGTCTATCCCAACAGCGAGGCTTGGGGCGTGGTATTAGGGGTTGGTAGGAGCCACGTGTAGCCCATAAGGCTAGGGTGCCTAAGAAGCACCCAGAGTACAGGGAGACCCCTGGTGGGTCCGGGAGAACACGGGGACAGAGGTCCCAGTTAACCGTGCCGAGGAGACGTAAGGCAGCCTCCCAACTTAACTTAAGATGGAAGACGTGGCGGGCAAGAATAGAGGGTGCCCTTGGGCCGACTTGGCACGGTGAGGGGGCCGTAAGGAGATCACGGCCCTCCTATAGGACTCCACCGTGACAGTCACAAATAGTCTTTACAAAACCTCTCTGAAAACAAAGGAAGCTTTAAATTCAGTTTAAGCAGTAGGCTTTGTTTGAAGTTCAAATTTCAATCAGTAATTCAAGCAAAAGATAT